TCGGGCCTAGACCCTTCTTCAGAAAATAGTCTGTGTATCAAAGAACAAAGAACAAAGAAAATGACAGCACAGGAACAGGCCCTTCGGCCCTCCAAGCCTGCGTCGATCCAGATCCTCTATCTAAACCTGTCACCTATTTTCCAAGGATCTGTATCCCTCTGCTCCCTGCCCATTCATGTATCTGTCTAGATACATCTTAAATGATGCTTTCATGCCTGCCTCTACCACCTCCACTGGCAACGCGTTCCAGGCACCCACCACCCTCTGCGTAAAGAACTTTCCACACATATTTCCCTTAAACGTTTCCCCTCTCACCTTGAAATCGTGACCCCTAGTAATTGAGTCCCCCATTCTGGGGGGAAAAAGCTTCTTGCTATCCACCCTTTCTATACCTCTCATGATTTTGTAGACCTCAATCAGGTCCCCCCTCAACCTCCGTCTTTCTAATGTAAATAATCCTAATCTACTCAACGTCTCTTCATAGCTAGCGCCCTCCATACCAGGCAACATCCTGGTGGACCTCCTCTGCACCCTCTCCAAAGCATCCACATCCTTTTGGTAATGTGGCGACCAGAACTGTATGCAGTATTCCAAATGTGGTCAAACCAAAGTCCTATACATCTGTAACAGGACCTGCCAACTCTTGTGTTCAATACCCCGTCCGATGACTGAAAGCAAGATTAACTGATTTAGATTATTATTAACTGATTATCAGTTTAACTGTTTTAGACACTGACCATCCAGATTGACATGTCTGGGCCAAACCTGAACGTGGGTATTGTGATTCGCACCACGTGTACTCTCCACTCCCAGGCCCTGAGTAAAGGAAATCTGGCCATGTGGGCTTGTGGAAGGGAGCAACACAGCAGATGTTATAGAGTCATAGAGTCATACAGCATGGATACAGACCCTTTAGCCCAACTAGTTCACACTTATGTGCTTGGCCCATATCCCTCCAAACATTTCCTACTCATGAACTTTTCCAATGTTTTTTAAACATTGTAACTGTACTTGCATCAACCATTTTCTCTGGCAGTTCATTCCACACACGAACCACTCTCTATGTAAAAAAAAAAGTTGCCCCTCACGTCCTTTTTAAATCTTTTTCCTTTCTACTTAAAAGTATGACCCCTAGATTTGAACTCCGCCCCCCCGCCCCACCTAGAATAAAAAACCTTGTCATTCCCCTTATCTATGCCCCTCATGATTTTATAAACCTCAATAATTTCATCCCTCAATCTCCTATACTCCAGTGGAAAAAGTCCCAGTTTTTCCAGGCTATATCTCAAATCCTCCATTCCCAGAAACATCCTGGTAAGTCCTTTCTGAATCTTCTCCAGTTTAATAATATCTTCCCTATAATAGGGTGACAGGAACTACACGCACTACTCCAGAAGAGACCTCACCAAAATCCTGTACAATCTCAACATGACATCCCAACTCCTGTACTCAAACATCTGAGCAATGAAGGCAAGGGTAGTAAATGCCTTCTTAACCACCCTGTCTACCTGTGATGCAAATTTCAAAGAATTATGTATTATGAATTATGAATTCCTCTGTTCTACAACACTACCCAGGTCCTACCATTAATTGTATAAGTCCTGTTCTTGTTTGTATACCAAAATGCAAAATCTCTGATTAATTCAAATTAAACTCCATCTGCCTTAGCCCATTGACCCGATTGATCAAGGTCTCTTTGTAATCTTAGATAATCTTCACTGTCCACTATAACACCAATTTTAGTGTCATCTGCAAACTGACTGACCATGCCTCCTATATTCTCATCCACATCATTTATATAAATGACCAGTAAAAGTGGACCTAGTAGATCCCTGTGGAATACTTATAAGCTGTGAGGTTGAAGAAGACATGAGAAAAGCACAGCTTTTAAAGGTGAGAGGGGGGAAGTTTAATGCAGATGTGTGAGGGAAGTGTTCTTTTTACACCGAGGAGTGCACTGCCAGGGAAAGTGGTAGAAGCAGACGCAATAACAAAGTTTAAGACACATTTAGATAGACAGGCAGAGAATAAAGGGATACTGACCATGTGCAGGCAGATGGAATTAGGTTAGAATAACATCATGGTCAGCACAGACATGATGGCCCAAAGGGCCTGTTCCTATGCTGTACTGTTCTATACTCTATTTCAGAGCATAATTACACCAAAATTGATTTATCTTAAATCTGTTACATTTTCTCATTAATCCAGAAATTTTTAATCTTAAAGATAGAAATGTTAAAAGCATTCCGTCTGCAAATAACAACTGCCCTTTACCAGCAACAGCTGTACAACTAGGTTTCGTTTAGAGCTTGTACTTGGAAGTCAACCAAAAAAGTTGAAAGTAGCTGCAAAGTGAGCATCATCAAGTAATAACTGACGGAAGGTACTTATCTCTCCTGTATT